TGTGTGCGTGTGTGTACATGTTTGTGTGTGTGTGTGCGTGTGTGTGTGTACATGTTTGTGTGTGTGTACATGTTTATGTGTGCGTGTGTGTACATGTTTGCGTGTATGCGTGTGTGTGTGTACATGTTTGTGTGCGTGTACATGTTTGTGTGTGTGTACATGTTTGCGTGTACGCGTGTGTGTGTGTACATGTTTGTGTGTGTGCGTGTGCGTGTGTGTGTGCGTGTGTGTGTGTGTACATGTTTGCGTGTGTGGGTGTGTGTGTGTGTACATGTTTGTGTGTGTGTGCGTGTGCACATGTGGTTCCCGTTACGTGCACAGATCGTTCCGTAGCTGCTACGCGCACGGCGCTTTAACGAGAAGCACATGGCCTGGACTTGCAGAGATGTTGCAATTGCCTTGAGAGAGAGAATCACGTGGAGGGTGTGGGTGTGTGGGGGTGTGTGTGGGGGTGTTGGGGTCTGTAGGGTGTGTGTGGGTGTGTGTGGGGGGTGTGTGTGGGTGTGTGGGGGTGTGTGTGTGGGGGATGTGTGTGTGGGGGTGTGGGAGTGTGTTTGTGTGTGGGTGTGTGGGGGTGTGTGTGTGGGGGGGGTGTGTCTGTGGGGGGGTGTGGGTGTGTGTGTGTGGGTGTGTGGGGGTGTGTGTGTGTGGGGGGGTGTGTGTGGGTGTGGGTGTGTGTGTGTGGGGGGGGGGGGTATGTGTGTGTGGGGGGTGTGTGTGTGTATGTGGGGGTGTGTGTGGGGGTGTGGGGGTGTGTGTGTGTGGGGGGGTGTGTGTGGGTGTGGGTGTGTGTGTGTGGGGGGGGGTATGTGTGTGTGTGGGGGTGTGTGTGGGTGTGTGGGGGTGTGTGTGTGTGGGGGGGTGTGTGTGGGTGTGGGTGTGTGTGTGTGGGGGGGGTATGTGTGTGTGTGGGGGTGTGTGTGGGTGTGTGGGGGTGTGTGTGTGGGGGGAGGGTGTGTGTCGGGGTGTGTGGGGGTGTGTGTGTGGGAGTGTGTGTGGGTGTCTGTGTGGGCGTGTGTGTGTGGGAGTGTGTGTGGGTGTGTGTTTGGGGGTGTGTGTATGGGTGTGTATGTGTGTGTGGGTGTGTGTGGAGGTTGTGGGTCCGTGTAGGTGTGGGAGTGTGTGTGGGGGGGGGGGGTGTGTATGGGTGTGTGTGTGTGTCTGGATGTGTGTGTGTGGAGGGGAGTGTATGTGGGGGGGGGCTGTGTGTGTGGGGGGGATGTGTGTGGGTGAGGTTTAGGACTTTCACTCAGGCAGTTGTCCCTCGGCATGGAAAACATCGTGGCACAAAGTTGGGATGACCCTGCTGAGGCTGCGGTGCCTCATATATTGGAGGAAGAAGTCACCCCCTGTGAGTGGCTGGCTGAGGTGCCATCTGTTGAGGAAGTACTGAAGGCGATCCAGAGTCTGAGACCAGGAAAGGCACCGGGCTGAGATGATCTCCCAAGCGAAATGCTGAGGGAGGGTGGCGTTTGTGCACATACTGCCCTACATGACATCATAACAACAGTCTGGACCACTGGACGGGTTCCGCAGGACTGGAAGGATGCCCTGGTGGTCCCCCTCTTTAAGAAGGGGGACCGCACAGACTGTAACAACTACAGGGGCATCTCACTCCTCAGTGTGCCGGGTAAGGTCCTGGCAAGGATTATTCAACATCGCCTTGCTAGGCACGCTGAGGAGAGGCTTGCGGAGCCCCAATGCGGTTTCAGGAAAGGGCGGTCCTGCACAGATGCCATATTTTCTGTCCGTCTGCTACAGCAGAGGTGTGTTAGTACCTGGTGCGGTGTGTAAACGTCTCTGCTTTATTGACCTGGTCAAGGCCTATGATACCATCAGTAGGCCTGGGCTCTGGGTTGTTCTTCGTGCTTTCGGAGTCCCTGACCCTCTGCTCATGATCATTAAGGACCTTCATGATGGTGAGCGGGCCCGGGTAAAACTACGTGGCCGGGAGTCGGAGCCATTCCCTGTTCACCTTGGGGTGCGACAGGGATGTCCTCTGGCTCCCACATTATTTTAACATGTTTTTCGACCACGTAGTTTGCGAAGCCTTTGATGGCTGTGTACTAGAAGAATATCCATCTGGTACAGACACAATGGGAGGCTGATCGATGCCCGGGTGCGGTCAAGGGATGGCTCCCTATTGATCAACCATGTTATGTATGCCGATGATCTGGTAATTGCCGCTCACTCAGAGGAGGAGTTGGAGGCGCTGCTGCTGAACCTGGAGCTTGCCACTAAGAGGTGGGGCCTTACCATCAGCCCCAAAAAAACTAAGCACCTGCCTGGGTATTTTGTACCATCGGGCACTCCACCCCCACAACTCTCAATCGGTGATGGGGCAGTTGTGGAGAGAGTTGAGAGTTTCCCTGGGCAGTGTACTTATGACCGGCTCTGGTTTGACAGCAGAGGTCTCGCTCAGAATCAGTCGAGCGGCAATATCTTTTCATTGGTTGCGTAACGCTGTGTGGAAGCTACCTGGTCTGTCGCTCTGCACGAAGCTTCAGGTCTTCTCGGCCACGGTCATTCCCTCCCTTCTCTACGCTTGCGAAACGTGGACCCCCTAATGGAGCATCTTCGCTGATTGGAAAACATTTAGGCTGGCCTGCCTACGACCCATCCTGGGTTTAACCAGGCTAGATGAGCCCAGCAATTTGCACAGTACTTTAGCTATGCGGCGCTCCGCTCGTTGTTGTGAGCGTCGCTCCTCCGCCCTCCATTGTTGTTGGAGGGCGACTGCCTCCAACTGCCCAGTAGCGTCCTTCACGAGCCTCCTCCACAGAGGCCGATCTTGACACCGCTGGTACCAGTCATCGGCAAGTCCACTCAGCTCCACGTCCTCCCGTACCACATCACTCCATAGGCATGCGGTGGCTGGGCATGTGGGCTACATGACCCAGCCAACGCAGCCTTGCCTGCCGGAGGAGCTCACCGATGAGACTTTGCCCAGATCTTTCAAGGATTTGTGAGCGCCTCACACAATCCAGCCTGGTTAAACCCAGGATGGATCGTAGGCAGGCCAGCCTAAATGTTTCCAACCGGCGAAGATGCTCCATTAGGGGGGTCCACGTTTCGCAAGCGTAGAGAAGGGAGGGAATGACTGTGGCCGAGAAGACACACACACTCACACACACTCACACAAACACTGACACACACACACTCACACACACTCACTCACACACTCACACACACTCACACACACTCACACACACTCACACACACTCACACGCACACACACACACACACTCATACACATTCATCAACACACTCACACACACTCATACACACTCACACACACACTCACACACACTCACACTCTCACACACACTCACACATACTCATCAACACACTAACACACTCACGCACACACACACACAGTTACACTCTCACACACACTCGCACACACTCGTCAACACACACTCACACACAAACACTCACTCACAAACACTCACACACTCTCACACACACTGACTCACTCACACACACTCACACGCACACACACACACTCATACACATTCATGAACACACTCACACACACTCACACACACTCACACACACGCACAGTTACACTCTCAAACACACTCACACACTCACTCACACACTCACACACACTCACAAACACTCACACACACAAACACTCACAAACACTCACACACACACTCACACACACTCACACACACACACACTCATACACATTCATCAACACACTCACACACACTCACACACACTCACACACACGCACAGTTACACTCTCAAACACACTCACACACTCACTCACACACTCACACACACTCACAAACACTCACACACACAAACACTCACTCACAAACACTCACACACACACTCACACACACTCACACACACTCACACACACACACTCATACACATTCATCAACACACTCACACACACTCACACACACTCACACACACTCACACACACTCACACTCTCACACACACACACAGTTACACTCTCACACACACTCACACACTCACAAACACTCACAAACACTCACACACACTCACACACACTCACACACACACACTCTCACACACACTCATCAACACAAACACTCACACACTCACACACACACTCACACGCACACACACACTCATACACATTCATCAACACACTCACACACACTCACACACACTCACACTCTCACACACACACAGTTACACTCTCACACACACTCACACACTCACACACACTCACACTCACTCACACACACACACTCTCACACACACTCATCAACACAAACACTCACACACACAAACACTCCCCCACCCCCCACCCCCCACCCACTAATCCACGCACTCACACACTCACACACACTCACACTCTCACACACACACAGTTACACTCTCACACACACTCACACACTCACACACACTCACACTCACTCACACACACACACTCTCACACACACTCATCAACACAAACACTCACACACTCACTCACTCCCCCACCCCTCCACCCACTAATCCACGCACTCACACACTCACACACACTCACACACACTCACACTCTCACACACACACAGTTACACTCTCACACACACTCACACACTCACACACTCACACTCACACACTCACAAACACTCACACTCACTCACACACACTCACACTCACTCACACACACACACTCTCACACACACTCATCAACACAAACACTCACACACTCACTCACTCCCCCACCCCTCCACCCACTAATCCACGCACTCACACACTCACACACTCACACACACTCACACTCTCACACACACACAGTTACACTCTCACACACACTCACACACTCACACACACTCACTCACACACTCACAAACACTCACAAACACTCACACTCACTCACACACACTCACACACACTCACACACACACACTCTCACACACACTCATCAACACAAACACTCACACACTCACTCACTCCCCCACCCCTCCACCCACTAATCCACGCACTCACACACACACTCACACACACACACTCTCACACACACTCATCAACACAAACACTCACACACTCACTCACTCCCCCACCCCTCCACCCACTAATCCACGCACTCCCTCCACCACCCACGCGCTGTTCACGCGCCAGAGAAGTCGCACAACCCAGGACGCGAACACCCCCACCACCATCCTCACCACCATCCTCACCACCAACATCACCATCACCACCACCATCACCAGCATCATCACGTCGGCAGGAGAGAGCCATGATGGCAGCAGGGGTGTTGGTGGTCCTCATAGCCACCACGGCGGTGATTGTGCAAGGCTTGTGTGAGTATGACGATGATGGTGGTGGGGGTGACTATTGTGGTAGACAAGATGATGATGGTGGTGGTGGTGGTGGTTAGGATGATAGTGGTGGTGGTTAGAGTGACGGTGGTTCGAGTGGTGATGGTGGTGGTTGACTATTGTGGTAGAGAAGATGATGATGGTGGTGGTGGTGGTGGTTAGGATGATAGTGATGGTGGTTAGAGTGATGGTGGTTAGAGTGATGATGGTGGTGGTGGTAGTGGTTGACTATTGTAGTAGAGAAGATGATGGTGGTGGTGGTGGTGGTGGTTGACTATTGTGGTAGAGAAGATGATGATGGTGGTGGTGGTGGTTAGGATGATAGTGATGGTGGTTAGAGTGATGGTGGTTAGAGTGATGATGGTGGTGGTGGTAGTGGTTGACTATTGTAGTAGAGAAGATGATGGTGGTGGTGGTGGTGGTTGACTATTGTGGTAGAGAAGATGATGATGGTGGTGGTGGTGGTGGTTAGGATGATAGTGATGGTGGTTAGAGTGATGGTGGTTAGAGTGATGATGGTGGTGGTGGTAGTGGTTGACTATTGTAGTAGAGAAGATGATGGTGGTGGTGGTGGTTGACTATTGTGGTAGAGAAGATGATGATGGTGGTGGTGGTTAGGATGATAGTGATGGTGGTTAGAGTGATGGTGGTTAGAGTGATGATGGTGGTGGTGGTAGTGGTTGACTATTGTAGTAGAGAAGATGATGATGGTGGTGGTGGTTGACTATTGTGGTAGAGAAGATGATGATGGTGGTGGTGGTGGTTAGGATGATAGTGATGGTGGTTAGAGTGATGGTGGTTCGAGTGGTGATGGTGGTGGTGACTATTGTGGTAGAGAAGATGAAGATGGTGGTGGTGGTGGTGATGGTGATGGTGGTGAGAGTGATGGTGGTGGTGGTGGTTAGGATGATAGTGATGGTGGTTAGAGTGATGGTGGTTCGAGTGATGATGGTGGTGGTGGTTGACTATTGTGGTAGAGAAGATGATGATGATGGTGGTGGTGATGGTGATGATGGTGATGATGGTGGTGAGAGTGATGATGGTGAGAGTGGTGGCGGTGATGATGATGGTGGTGATGGTGATACAGTGGTGGTGGTGAGAGTGGTGGTGGTGGTGATGGTGATGGTGGTGATGGTGAGAGTGGTGGTGGTGATGGTGTTGGTGGTGATGGTGGTGATGGGGATGGTGGTGATGGTGGTGGTGGTGGTGTGGTGATAGTGGTGATGGTGGTGATGGTGGTGGTGATGGTGGTGGTGGTAAGAGTGGTGGTGGTGAGAGTGGTGGTGGTGATGATGGTGGTGGTGATGAGAGTGGTGGTGGTGGTGGTGGTGAGAGTGGTGGTGGTTAGTGGTGGTGGTGGTGATGGTGGTGATGGTGGTGGTGGTGGTGGTTAGTGGTGGTGGTGGTGATGGTGGTGGTGGTGGTGGTGAGAATGGTGGTGGTGAGAATGGTGGTGGTGATGGTGGTGGTGATGGTGGTGGTGGTGGTGAGAGTGGTGGTGGTGAGAGTGGTGGTGGTGAGAGTGGTGGTGGTGATGATGGTGGTGAGAGTGGTGGTGGTGGTGATGGTGGTGAGAGTGGTGGTGGTGGTGATGGTGGTGATGGTGGTGGTGAGAGTGGTGGTGGTGATGATGGTGGTGGTGAGAGTGGTGGTGGTTGTGGTGGTGGTGATGGTGGTGATGGTGGTGGTGGTGGTGGTTAGTGGTGGTGGTGGTGATGGTGGTGGTGGTGGTGGTGAGAATGGTGGTGGTGAGAATGGTGGTGGTGATGGTGGTGGTGATGGTGGTGGTGGTGGTGAGAGTGGTGGTGGTGAGAGTGGTGGTGGTGAGAGTGGTGGTGGTGATGATGGTGGTGAGAGTGGTGGTGGTGGTGATGGTGGTGAGAGTGGTGGTGGTGGTGATGGTGGTGATGGTGGTGGTGAGAGTGGTGGTGGTGATGATGGTGGTGGTGAGAGTGGTGGTGGTTGTGGTGGTGGTGATGGTGGTGATGGTGGTGGTGGTGGTGGTTAGTGGTGGTGGTGGTGATGGTGGTGGTGGTGGTGGTGAGAATGGTGGTGGTGAGAATGGTGGTGGTGATGGTGGTGGTGATGGTGGTGGTGGTGGTGAGAGTGGTGGTGGTGAGAGTGGTGGTGGTGAGAGTGGTGGTGGTGAGAGTGGTGGTGGTGATGATGGTGGTGAGAGTGGTGGTGGTGGTGATGGTGGTGAGAGTGGTGGTGGTTGTGGTGGTGGTGATGGTGGTGGTGAGAGTGGTGGTGGTGGTGATGGTAGTGGTGGTGAGAGTGGTGGTGGTGAGAGTGTTGGTGGTGGCTACGATGATGATGGTTAGAGTTATCATTTTGGTATTGGTGATGACGTGTATTAGTATGTTTATTGTTTACTGTATGTACGAGTGTGTGTGTATCTGTATGTGTGTGTCTGTATGTGTCTGTATGTATGTATGTGTGAGTGTGTGTCTGTATGTATGTTGGAGTGATTGTCTGTATGTATGTATGTGTGAGTGATTTCCTATGTATGTATGTGTGAGTGTGTATTTGTGTGTGTGTATGTGTGAGTGAGTGTATGTGTGTGTGTCTGTGTAGTGACAGAACGGTCACTACTGTGTTGGCCCGTACGAGGGCTGGGGGCCCCAAGGGGGTGCCTGGGGGGTCACGTGCTGGAGGGATCCGGACCTTCCCAGAGGTGGGGGAAGTGAGGCGTGGCCTGGGAAGTGAGGCGTGGCCTGGGAAGTGAGGCGTGGCCTGGGAAGTGAGGCGTGGCCTGGGAAGGGAGGCGTGGCCTGGGAAGTGAGGCGTGGCCTGGGAAGGGAGGCGTGGCCTGGGCGGAGCCGGCCACGCCAGAGAGACGAGATATAAGGGTGGTGTGAAGGCAGAGCAGGGCTGTTCCTGAGAAGAATGAAGACACCTCGTGAAGATGCCAGAAGAGAAGACCTACAGTGAGCGGACTGCCAGCAGCCACCTGGCTGGGTCACGCTGGAGAGCGGCTAAAATACAACGGTGTGTTAGCTAGTGTAGGTCGGTGGTCACCACCCTATGTGTAGAGAAAGAGTAACTGTTGAGTAAACGTTGTGTTAATTAATAAATGAGTGTTGCCTCCCAAGAAGTGTGTGCGCCTAAATTGAACCCACTACATTTGGCGTCAGTTGTGGAAAAATAAATATTGCTAGGTGTTATCCTGGGGAAGTAAAATGGGCACACGAAAAACAAATACAAAACTCATCTGGACGTCTTCGTACGACGGGGATGGTGTGACGACCGTCCTTCGGACAGCCCCGGGGATGGCAGCCCCGGTGACAGAGAGAGAGAGAGATGGCGCTGCACGCGGAGCGGTGGGACTTGCATCGCACTGCTGCTTCGCCGCCATCGGGAACGGAGCGATGGAGCCGCGGCGAGAGGACACCATCGTCGCTGCGGGGGCTGGCGGGGGAGGCCCGGGCATGCGGGCCACGCGGTGGGCCCGCCATTTCGGCGGCTGGTCGGGGCGCTGTTCCCGCCAAAACACCGTTCCCGCCATTTCGGCGGCTGGTCGGGGCGCTGTTCCCGCCAAAACGCCGTTCCCGCCATTTCGGCGGCTGGTCGGGGCGCTGTTCCCGCCAAAACACCGTTCCCGCCATTTCGGCGGCAGGTCGGTGCGCTGTTCCCACCAAAACGCCGCTCCTGCTGCCGAAATGCCGCTCCCGCCGACATCAACGCCTGCAGAGGGGGAGTTCGTTCGCAAGAGCAGGCCGTGTTCACCATGGAAGATTCTTCGGGCCGTCCCAGTGCTCCACCTTGCCGCCCTCTGCTATGCACAGTTTTCAAGGCGAGTCATGACATGACAAGCACCCGGCCCCAAGAAAAATAATAATAATTTTCACCCATCTTGCGTGTGCCGGGTTGCGATCGTGTGTTTTTTTTTACTCGCTGGGTTGCGGAGCGTGTTCGTCCGGTTGTGTGCGTGAGAAATTGACGCGGCGACCAGTGTTTGTTGTTAATTACGGCGTCGAGATCGGTATCTTCTGCGTGTAGTTAATGATTAATTCGTTGTTGGTGTCCCGAGTTCCGTGGATATCCTGTATGTTGCCGTGTTAATGACTCGTGTTGTTACATCGTTGTGTTGCGAAATCACCATTGTTATTGTGTATACTGTATGGAGTTTCGCTCGTGATTGTCACTTGCAACTGTCAGAAACTTTGATCGTCATTGTTAACAGTGTATGGAATGTTGGGTACTTGCTTGTGATTATTTACTATGTACGGATTGTCTGGAGTATTGATTGTGTGTGTTGCCATGTGGGGACTGGATGGTGCATTGTGCCAAATGATTGACTGTACGAACTTCGTATACTGCATATACTGTATTAATCAATTCGGCGATTCTTGGGGTTTGTGTACAGTTTTTTTCTCTCAAAATTCGAATGCCCTGAGTCCCATGGTTAATGTTGAAGGGGATTTTGAAGTGACAGGTTCGGTTTGTTTCAAACTCACTGGTTGGTTTCTGTCCGTTGTTGCACAGATGATGTCTTTTGTGCGGGAATGCTCCTTGTGTTCTACATGGATCGGGGGTGCGTTTCCGTTAATTGCCGTCAAATTGCATTGCTCTCTCCACTCGGTTGGTACAGCTGCATTGCTGCAATGCGAGTCTCGGAGATGATGTGTACGGATACGGGATGTGAGGTGTATTGTTGTGACCATTGAATATTCGGGATCGTCAAAAAAAAAAAAATTGTGCGTACCTGTTCGGCATTGGATTAGTTCTGTGGGGGATCATAATTCAAATTGTATGTGTTGTGATGGTGTTAAATTGCGATGGTGACATGCTGCCAGGGATTTGGAATTGTGCTGCTGGCTGTCACTATCTTGGGGCGCAGGTCCTGACCAGGATGGCCCAGTGAGTGTTGCGTGTCTAACATGAACGTTGTGGTCCCGTCATGCTATGGCTGACGGCTTGACCTGACAGCCCGGAGATTGAAACACTCCGTGGTATGTCTAGCCTAGTGGGCTGTGCGC